CTCCCTGGCACCCATTTCACAGCGTCGCTTCAGCCAATTTCCCCCAGTCGTCCATTTTACCGCCAGTTCTCCCCTATCTCGCCATACTATCGTGCAATTAAACGGCTCGAGTTCCTACCCTGTCAGTCCAATATGGCCGAATAAAGTAGAGGCGCCCTCACGCAGTTCAGACCCCTAATCATACGCGGAATAATTACACATCCCAAACAAGCGGCATGCATGCGATCTGCGATCGATTTTCGCGGCGCGCGAGCGTCACTTTTCGACGGCAGAGCGTGTCGGCCAGCGCCACACGTGACGGCAAACGTGACGGGACTCACGGGTCACGTGACGGTCCGAATTGGTAACGAATGTTGTGACGAGGAGTGGAGGACAGTGATGGCTTACGGAAGTCACGGAAAGGGGAGCGCTTGTGTTCGAGTTTTCTAAATTATGTTTTTCAATGGATGAAACATTCAGCATTATCAAATCATAGTGTGATAAATCATGTAGGATGTCGCATGATCAATTCTGTAAACGTTTTGATTTATCTTCATTTATCAATCATTTTCTGATGGATGATGTGCGTAGGAAAATGGCTGGGGATTTATGGCCATGGTTATCAAAGCAAACTCCCTCGCCCACCTCGTCTCCTGTGGCGTCATCGTGTGGGTCCCACCAACGGAAGGTTTGTCCCACACATTAGTGTCCCCGCGGGAACCAGGTGAGCATGGCCCTGTGCCGTCCCCAGCCCGGGATAACGGCGCTGACGTCATGGGTCGCCGGGTCACCCCGCCGGGTCAGAGGTCACGCCACGGGTCAGGGGTTAACGACCGCCCGGGGTACGGGCCGGCTCCCAGGGCCCCGAAAAGCGGGCCAGGTGGGTGGCCGCAGCGACACGCGTGGTGGCAATCGGGTATACCTACTGGGTAGAAGGGGAGGTCGCATATGACTTTGCTTTTGTATCTGCATGCCAATGCACATGCACTAACCAATAAAAGGAGTGAATTCATGTTACGTAATAAAGCATTGGAATAAAAATAATGCACAAATAGGTAAAATGCTGCAAAAAGCATGTTAGTCACGTTCACTTTGACCGTGCCTGCGTACAAGCGTATCAACCGATGTGTCGTATAGAAAGGGTCTATTATGGTATTCTTATAGATATATGTTTCAAAACCCAGCATTAGGTAAGACAGATGACCAACAAAATATTATTATTTAGTCACTGACTAAAAGTCAGCCTGCAATGCTGACAGACCATCGTAATAGACACCGCTGGAACATTCAGAGCTGTTCCGCGGCCGCCGACCGACTGCGTGTCGCTGCTGGACCGCTCCCAGTTGGATCCGATGGCCCGTCTCTGCCCCCCCCCCTCCCCCCCGGCGGCTGGCCGGCCGCCACTGTGAGTAAAACACGGTCCCGAAATACCCGGCACCCCTCCCCCCTACCGTCCCCGCCCGGGGCGGTGTCTCTGAGAGGTGTCATGGCGTCCATTGAGCGCGCATTTCGTCCATCAGCGGGTGCACTCGTCCAGAGACCGTTCGCCCACACTCATCACAGCCGCTGCGGCAGTTCATTGAGGGCTGCGGACGCGCCAAGGACAGCCGCCCCCGCCCCCGCCCCCGCCCCCGGGGGTGATGTCATCCGGGGCCCCATCGCCGGCAGAGTATACACACACACGCCGCGGGCAGGCTGCGACCACACCACTGCCGGGACTGACTTCCGGCGGCGAGGACACCGCATCTCACTGCGGGGCTGGCCACAGGGTTTTGGCATCATTGTTTACTCAGATATCACGCAGTTATCTGACAATTTATCATTGTTCATTCGGCGTTTAGCCAATAACGGGTTATTACTTAATTTAATTTTACCGACAAAACACTTTTTTGGCACTTTTCTGTTCATAATTTCAATATGAATCCAAGTTGAATAAAACCATACCCAGCCATGTTGCCATATCTTCCGCACAAATGCGTTAGGTAAGATATGCCTATTTCGCCATCACATGTTGCAATGTTGTTCATGTGAGCGTGGTCAGCCCCTGAATCTCCGACGTTCCAGAGCATGCCGCTCGTGTGGTTCCAGTGTTTAATGTTTATCATTAATGTCGCCATGCTCCGGTTTCACGTGATCAACTGTTGGCCGGTCATTAATCGAGTGGGTGGGCTCCACTGGCCATCAGATACAGCCATTAGTACCCGAGTACCTCGCTGGTACATTTAATCGCTGAGCTGCTGTAGGATGGACGGCGGAGCTCCATATGTGGGCTATCTGGGCCGGCATCTTAATAGGGCTGTCGTCGCCCCCGTGATCTGCAGCTCATCTCCGTGACGGGCTATATTGGAGCGGGGCTCAGCGGGCGCAGAGCGGCCGGCTTAACACCTGTAGTTGTGACAGGTACACCAGCTATCGCAGCGGAGCTAACCCGAGGAGGTAATAATGAATAGCAGATATCAAGATCAGATATTCTAAATCGACACGCACTAAGGAATGTGACGCATTGGAATAATGGGATATGACTGCTTCCAAAGATCAGCTACCGGAGACCTTTACTTAAATCCTTCAAAAGAAACGAAAGCCAAAACCAATCCAACGGTAGTTTTCCCAACATCGTTACCATCTCATTTGGGAGTATAAATGAACACTTCCACAGTGTAACACAACATAAAATGCTCGGAGTGAGCGAAGTCCGCACCAGCCGTTCCCGTTTTTTCCCTATAATTCGCCGTGTTACGTAAGGGCCCATTTTACTGTTTGTCTGCATCAGTGTCTGTGTGTTTCCGTCGCCCTCTGTGAGCTCCAATCGGCTCCCTGACACCGGTATGGCAAATACATTCTGTCTGCGCCTCTACAGCCGCTCCCAGACAGCGGCAGTGACTGGCTTGTCTGGCCTGCCGGCCGCTCCCTCAAACTCTGACCAATGACCGGCGGGAGACGCACCTGCCGCTCCCTCAAACTCTGACCAATGACCGGCGGGAGACGCACCCGCCGCTCCCTCAAACTCTGACCAATGACCGGCGGGACGCACCTGCCGCTCCCTCAAACTCTGACCAATGACCGGCGGGAGACGCACCTGCCGCCCCCTCAAACTCTGACCAATGACCGTCGGGAGACGCACCTGCCGCTCCCTCAAACTCTGACCAATGACCGGTTGGAGACGCACCTGCTGCTCCCTCAAACTCTGACCAATGACCGGCGGGAGACGCACCTGCCGCTCCCTCAAACTCTGACCAATGACCGGCGGGAGACGCACCTATCGCTCCCTCAAACTCTGACCAATGACCGGCGGGAGACGCACCTATCGCTCCCTCAAACTCTGACCAATGACCGGTGGGAGACGCACCTGCCGCTCCCTCAAACTCTGACCAATGACCGGCGGGAGACGCACCTATCGCTCCCTCAAACTCTGACCAATGACCGGCGGGAGACGCACCTATCGCTCCCTCAAACTCTGACCAATGACCGGCGGGAGACGCACCTATCGCTCCCTCAAACTCTGACCAATGACCGGCGGGAGACGCACCTATCGCTCCCTCAAACTCTGACCAATGACCGGCGGGAGACGCACCTGCCGCTCCCTCAAACTCTGACCAATGACCGGCGGGAGACGCACCTATCGCTCCCACCTCCCTCCATCTCATCAGCTCGGAATGGCCGATGGCTCGGAACGCCCGTCCGCCCACTGCCTACACAGCGACAGTGCTGGGTACACCGGGGTTCACCGCATTGTCTCTTCGTCGTCTTTTTCATTTACATTATTGATACGTTTGGTTATCGCCAGTTTGGTAGCCTTTCCTATCTTATCTCACCTTACCTACGGGGGAAACAATCATCCAATGCCTTTAAATCGTGCAAACTAACGTCCTGCGAATCATCACCACACATTGGGATGTATCCCTCCCTAAATCTCTTCACGCCCTTCTAAGAGCAGCGTGTATACCAAACACTCAACCCCGCCACCCCTGCCTTCCACCCCATCCCTCTGACACTCAGCACGCGCCACCCATCTCCGCCCCCACCACGGCGCGTCTCCAGACATTTACAGCCCAACAGCGCCGCGCCGCCGCTCAAGGCCAGGCCATTCAGGCCTGTCGACCTCGAATGCTGAAGTTTGGATGCCGCCACCCACCCGTCAGGGAACGGAACGAGCGGGGGCGGAGGCGGTAGCGCCACACTCGAGCGGAGACGGGGCACGCGGGCCGCGGCGCCGGCCGGTCAATTCGGGGAGCCGGTCGACGAGACGCGACGGTTACCGTAGCGCTTTGGACGGTTTGACGCGAGGGGCAGACCATCCCGCGGTAGGGATAGCGAGAGGGGAAGCGCGTCGCGAGAAATCGAGGTCGAAATGGTCTGTTCATAGCTCGGAGCGTTGGGAGGAGCGCTGGAGCAGCTCAGGCGACGGAGGCAGTCCGGTCCAACGCGGGCGGCGGACCGACCCTGCCTGCCATCTAGCGGCCGCAGTCGGAAGCTCCGCGGGCACCGCCCAAACCGTGACGGCGGCCGCAGCAGTCCGATTCGTCGACACAGGACGTTCAGACAGGAACGACACCCAGCACATCTCACACTTCTCACAAACAGCTCACAGGGCACAGCGCACAAACTTCTGTCAGTGTGGGGGAAGGGGGGGGGGGACAAACGGGACGGTACGAGAAGCATAGCGGCATGCGCGACACGCATAATGCAGTGAATTTAGATCACAATCCGATGTAAACCATTGATCACAAAGACTAATGAGGAAGTTGAAAATGTTACAAACATTACGCGATAACCATCGGCCATAACGTGCCGCCATATTTCTTGTGAGCGTTTTCACCAAATAGCTTGCTTTTAAATCTTATAAGTCAGACTTATACGTCGAGATAGCTACGCATGACTTTATAAAGCCTGACAAAACAATTCATCACAGCAAATCTTAACCAATTGGGGACTGAGCGATGCACACATTTGAGCACAACCACATAACACCACCACTCAGTAATGTCACGCCGGGTATTTATTTTATTGATCGGGGTACTCACCGGTGGCGTCATGGCCGGCGCTGTTCATCCAGAGTCGCAGCATCACAGTGGCTTGCTGCGCCGAGTCGTCCGGGTACTCTGTCTGTATCAGCTGGATGTCCGACTCGGGAATATCTGCGGCACATACAGACACAGATACAGATACAGTGAGTCGTCCGGGTACTCTGTCTGTATCAATTGGATGTCCGACTCGGGAATATCTGCGGCAGATACAGACACAGATACAGATACAGTGAGTCGTCCGGGTACTCTGTCTGTATCAATTGGATGTCCGACTCGGGAATATCTGCGGCAGATACAGACACAGATACAGATACAGTGAGTCGTCCGGGTACTCCGGATCAGCTGGATGTCCGACTCGGGAATATCTGCGACAGATACCAGTGAGATGCAGATACAGTGAGATACAGAAACGATGAGACACGGACAGTGAGATAACGGACACACTGAGGGACGGGAGATCAGCCACAGTACGGGACGGGAGACCTCCTCCGATTGTTTATGCACAAACAGGCCAAAAAAATCTGGTTAATTTTTTGAAAGAAACGATTATACGATAAATAAGCACTACTTTGTCGAACAATAATTTTACCAGCGACAAGCATTTTATGTGCTTTATTTTATTTTATGTGCTGGGGCCGTATTCACGTCGACTTCGTAAGTCGATTTTCTTTCGTAAGTATAATTTGGTATTCACGTCGACACTCCATAAGTTTTTATCGACGGAGTTCACGTGATTAAAAAAATTTACTTAAGAAGTAGGTCAAACTTAAGGAAATTCTTACGAAAATGATCGACGTGAATACGGCCCCAGAGAGCGTTAAAACACAGTTTTATCTTACTAACTAGTCATTCCGCAAGGGCTTGAAAGTACTCTAGCAATGCATTTCCTCTAACAAGTGCTCCTCATCGTTTACCGCCCTACCGTCTCCTTTCAGAGACAATATCCCTGACCGGCCTCCCATCACTGACCACGACAACCTCAGCGATATCAAACCACTGTTTACTAATGGTCCGGGACAGCCAGCCGGCCCTGTCTGACACGATATTGACCCGATAAAGGGACAGGAATGGGCCGCCTCAGAGGGCCCCGCGCGAGTTCGGTTGTTTGGACACGACTTTTCTAATGTTTTACAGCGATGCCTGTCATTGCCATCGGACTTTTAACGATCACATGGAATTCTTAGCATAATGCTGGAAATGCGATTCCACAGACAAGCTAACCATAAAATGATACGATATAGTTTCCTATTAGGATGAAAATCTTTCATACAGGGTAAGACAACTCCCTATTCCCTTACTATAGATAGTTGTCAGCAGACGCCTGTGACGGGTGTAGTGAGCCACTCAAGAGCAGCACCCGTGATTATCAGAGAGAGAGTGACTCACCTAAGTGCGGCGCCAGTGATATCTATCATGAGAGACTCACCAAAGTGCGGCGCCAGTGATAATCTATCATAGAGAGACTCACCTACTGTTAACGCCAGACCCCTTGAGACCCTAATTTTTCGCGATTATTTTTTAATGCGCGGAAGAATTTCAACCAAACTCAGGACATGGCCGTTTCAAGACATGCCGAAACTTTTACAATTTAGATATTTTGTCGCCATTTCAATATTTCAGGCACTTCTCATTGACTCGTAATGTTAAATTTCGAGCAAGATTTTCACCCGGTGTGTAGAGGCTATCACCAGTCAGTCTGTGATACTTTATGACGTCACAGCTAAGCCCCGCCTCTGTGGTCTTGGCCTGCGGCGGTTTCGGGCCGGCGCGCGGTCACTCGCGCTGTGGCGGGGAGCGGGGACGGTCGAGCGGTGCCGAAAGCCCGCGGAGTTGTGCGTAACGTCTTGTCTGACAGTGCCCAAAGAGCGACATGATGACTGAGGAGCCATAAATGCTCAATGCGCATTGCTTGTACAATGCTGATAGGTTCGCTGACGGCTGATATTTGTTTTATTTTTCATAAGCTGCAAATGACTGGCAGATGGCATATATGTACCTGACATAAGGTTAGGAAATATTCACCTGTATTTAAAGCCTATGGCGTTGCAGATAATGTGATAATGGGATGTCGGATCTCATCAAGTAGTTGCTGATTTGTACATCGCATCGAACAACGCAATAATTATTTAATTGCCTTCGCTTCACATCATAAGGCTCGCTCGTATTTCAAACATACCTATATCCTACATCGAACATCGTATTAGGAATCTTTAACGTTTGTTCGAAGCATGTGTGAGTAGTAGGTTGAGGAGTGATGGCCCTCTTGGTCCTATATACGAGAGTCAACAAGAACCTAACATTTACTTGACCGTCTGCTGCAATTGATACATAGCACGTGAAGCGTCAGCGAAATTCATAGTCCTTTACAGATGGCAGGGGTGTCGTTTGTACAGAGGTCGCTGATGGGCACGGGTCAATGCCGCAGTCGTGGGCGGAGCCTAATGTCATATGACGTATGAAAGCCTCTATCCGGGATGGAAAAACAGTTAACATTACGAGTCAATGACAAGTGCCACAAATATTTAAGTGCCAACAAAACGTATTTGAAGAAAAAGTTTCGGCAGGTCTTGAAACAGCTATTTCCTAAATATGGTTGAAATTCTTCGACGCATTAAAAAATAATCGCGAAAAATTAGGGTCTCAAGGGGTTTGGCGTTAACAGTAAGTGCGGCGCGAGCGTCATCCAGTCCTTCCCATAAGCGGCGGAACGGGTAGGGCACCGGGGCACCGTGCCCCCTTTGATTTTGGCATTTTAACATCAGCCCTATGGGCGTTGCATGGAAAGAATGGGACCAAAAGTCGGCAGTGCCCCCCCCCCCCCTTAATTGAAGGTGTTCCGCCGCTACTAGCCCTTTCCTAGTTTGTGAGCGGAGACTCACCTAAGTGCGGCGCGAGCGCTACCCAGTCCTTCCCTAGTTTGTGGGCGATGTCCGTTATCCGAATATCCGCCCGGTGGATCTCCGGCCGAACTGAAACATGGAGACACGAAAACTCGTCAGAAACTGAACACGGGGAACGAAACTTTAGTCAGATATTGAACACGGGGAACGAAACTCGTCGGGCAGTCGCTACAATACGGACAGAAAATCGTTATACAGCAAATTAACACATTATCTCGAGACACAATCAGCCTAGCGAGCGCTTTATCGAGTTATGACATTAAAAAAGTTACCAAAAATTTTAAGCAGCATCAGAAACTATCGCCTCTGTCAAACTGACCTAGCCGCCCTATGCTCCGCACAGTCAGCGGTGTCCCCTCTCTCTCTCCTCCCTCCCTCTCCCTCCCTTCCTCTGTCCCCTCTGTAACTGACCTAGCCTGCCGATGCTCCGCACTGTCAGCGGAGTCAGTATCCCTCTCCCTCCCTCTGTCTCCCTCTCTCTCCCCTCCCTCCCTCTGTAACTGACCTAGCCGCCCGATGCTCCGGACAGTGAGCGGAGTCCCCCTCTCCCTCTCCCTCCCTTCCTCCCTCCCCTCCCTCCCTCTGTAACTAACCTAGCCGCCCGATACTCCGGACAGTGAGCGGTGTCAATCCCTCCCTCTCCCTCCCTCTGTCCCCTCTGTAACTGACCTAGCCTGCCGATACTCCGCACAGTGAGCGGTGTCCCCTCCCTCTCCCTCCCTCTTCCCCTTCCTCCCTCCCTCTGTCCCCTCTGTAACTGACCTAGCCTGCCGATACTCCGCACAGTGAGCGGAGTCAGCCGCTGCCGCAGCAGCTCGCTGTCCGCCGATACATCAGCCTCGGGACAGATGTCGGCCGGCAGCTGGATGTTGAGGTTGCAGATCGGGGGCTGAGGCGCGTCCTGGCGGGAGAGCTGTAAGGGAGAGAGAGGGGTCAGCAGATTCCAACAATGGGACAGAAATTAAGAACTGCTGTCTCTAATTGATCTCGCCAATAAAAAGTCAACAATAGAAAAGCATCCATCCGCACACATTCCGTTTTTCAGACGTCACAAGCCACAAAGTTTTCCACGATGACGACCTCTTGAAAAGAAAACAGACGACGAAAACGACACACTGGTCAATTCTCCGCAACAAAAGACGGAAAAGGTATCATCCAAGATCCCCAAACTACAAACTACCAACCAAAAGGAGAGCTGAATCCGCAACAGCTAGTCTTCACTATGAACACTACATAGACAGGGAACACTAACAGACCATTGTTGGTAGAGATATCACAGGCATCCGTACCTTTTTCTCCCGCATGAAGGCGACGCGTCCCATGGGCTCCTGGGTGTGGTCCTTGACGCGCATATTGAACGGCATTCGGTTCTCCCGGAAGCTGTAGAAGTTGAAGTTGAGCTGGTCGCCCGATTTGGTGACGGGCAGCAGGTTTCCGGCAAACTCCAGGTACAGAGGCTTACCCTCGAGCACCTGTGGGGCGATCACGGGCAGCGTCAGATCAGATCACTGGCAATTTCAGGTGGGTCACAGTAAACACCGTCAGGATCCAGTGTCAGTTCAGTTCCAGATGCGTCCAGTCGTGTTTAAGCCCGATTGTACACTCGGGTCTTTTAAGCCAACCATAAACTCACCTAGCTGAAGCTGAACAATATTTTTCCTGTCCAACAAATTCTCCTCCTCTCATCAAAGCAGCCCTCCAAGCTCTCTTCCTCCAGATAGTCCCACCAGAGTTCGAAAGCCTTGGTCACACCACCGACCTCCCAAGAACGCCCTTCTTTCTTTGCCGCACGTCACGTGGACGCGCCCGCAGGCGCATCGGACGGGGGCTGGTCGAGCGGCGGCTCGGACCGCCCCACCCGCCGAATGTAGTCGACTATCTTGCCGGCCGGCCCGGAGAGGACCTCGTCAAGGGATGGCAGGGGTCCCCCCCAGAGCCGGCGTCTCGTGGTGGCGAATGCTGGGCACTCGGTGAGGAGGTGGCGAACGGTGTCCTCGGCACCGCACTCCCGGCAGAGAGGGTCCGGGGTGAGCTCCAGGCGGTGGAGCGTCGCTCGTGCCAGGGGGCAGTAGCCGGTCCGCAACTGCGACACGGTCACTTGCCCCCAGCGCGGGAGGTCTTGGAGTCCAGGCGTGGGCTGGGGGTGCGGGTGCCGGTGTGCACGCATGGCCTGCATTTCCCTGGCGCGCTGCCGTATGGCGGTTCGGGCGCTGGCCAGATCGATGGGCGTCTCCGATTGGGCACACTCGGCCGCCGCGCGGTTAGCCAGCCTGTCTGCCGCCTCGTTGCCGGCGATGTCGGCATGGCCTGGGACCCACTGGAGGATGATGGCCGTGTTCTGTTCCCCCAGTGAGTCCATCGCGGCCCAGACGCGCTCGGCGAGGACCAGCTAACGCCCTCCTCTCCCTCCCCTATCTCCCGGCCCCGCATCTCACCTCGACGTCTCGGCTCTTGGCGACCTCGACGAAGTGCTCCTGCTGTTCCAGTGTCTTCTCCTCTTTGTCGTCGGTCATGCAGAACACGCGCACCCGGCCCTCGAGCGGGTCGTGACGCTTCGCAAACACCACGAACCTGCGGACAGGGGGAGAGGGGGGAAGTTAGACAAGTCCCGACAGCAGCGGACCTCACAGAAGCCAGGGAAGGGATGAGTGACGCTAAAAATCCGCAAAAAATGTGATTAAATCAGGAACACCAAGAAAGTATCGAGGGCAAGATCAACAAAGAATAGATGACGCCGTTCGCTAGCAAGTGGTAGATTTTCGGAGCTTGCGTAATGCGTAAGCACTTACAAAAACAGACACGCATTCAACAATGACACGTTCGCCAGCTAGCACGCCCGCCTCCCCCATTAGCCATCATAAACAGGAACGAGAACGAAGACGCCCATTCCGTCTCCCCATCCCCACTCACTTGGCCATGAAGGGCACGTGGATGGCCTCCTTGTAGAGCTCGGTGGCCCCTCCCTCCCCTCTCCCAACACCACTCACTTGGCCATGAAGGGCACGTGGATGGCCTCCTTGTAGAGCTCGGTGGCCCCTCCCTCCCCTCTCCCAATGCCACTCACTTGGCCATGAAGGGCACGTGGATGGCCTCCTTGTAGAGCTCGGTGGCCCCTCCCTCCCCTCTCCCAACACCACTCACTTGGCCATGAAGGGCACGTGGATGGCCTCCTTGTAGAGCTCGGTGGCCCCTCCCTCCCCTCTCCCAACACCACTCACTTGGCCATGAAGGGGACGTGGATGGCCTCCTTGTAGAGCTCGGTGGCCCCTCCCTCCCCTCTCCCAACACCACTCACTTGGCCATGAAGGGCACGTGGATGGCCTCCTTGTAGAGCTCGGTGGCCCCTCCCTCCCCTCTCCCAACACCACTCACTTGGCCATGAAGGGCACGTGGATGGCCTCCTTGTAGAGCTCGGTGGCCCCTCCCTCCCCTCTCCCAACACCACTCACTTGGCCATGAAGGGCACGTGGATGGCCTCCTTGTAGAGCTCTGTGGCCCCTCCCTCCCCTCTCCCAATACCACTCACTTGGCCATGAAGGGCACGTGGATGGCCTCCTTGTAGAGCTCTGTGGCCCCCCTCTCCCAATACCACTCACTTGGCCATGAATGGCACGTGGATGGCCTCCTTGTAGAGCTCGGTGGCCCCTCCCTCCCCTCTCCCAATACCACTCACTTGGCCATGAAGGGGACGTGGATGGCCTCCTTGTAGAGCTCGGTGGCCATGGCGGTAGCCTCTGTGACGTTTCGGCAGTCCATGAGCCAGAAGCGCGCAGAGACCGTGGTGGTGAAGCTGACGCAGTCGTTGACGAACGTCAGCGGCGTGCTGCCCGTCACGTCCTCCCACTGGGCGCGCGTCGTGCCACCTGCGCGTGGGGAGACGTCAGAACAGGGGGTACCAGGAGAGGCAGCGGGCACAGCAGTACAGGGAGTGGCAGGAGCGGCTCGCGTCGTGCCACCTGCACGAGGCGCAGCGTCAGATAGAAGGTACACACCGGGAGGGCAGAGGGTCACAGCTGAAGACAGGGGGAGCAGACGGTCAGTGGCAGGAGGGGCTCCCGTCGTGTCACCTGCGCACGGTGCAAGGTCGGAACAAGGGAGTCAGGAGAGGACAGAATGTCACAAAAGGAGGCAACGTCATCAGAACCGGATCTTCAGGCTGAGCTGAAGACTAGGAACGAGTCAGAAAAGACGCCGGATGGATGATGGGGTTGAAAGGCCGGCCAGGGAAAACACATGGCACCTGACATAGGAATGGTAAGGCCTAGGTAGGGAAAGCTGAGTTCTTCTCTTAGCCAGTCAAAAAAATCACAGGACCACGGCGGAAGATGGGGCTCTAGGGGTGTTAGCCAGGAGAACCCGAATGCAGCAGTAAAAAGGTAAATCACAAGATAGATAAATCAAAAGGTAAAAAGGTGAAGAAAGGTAAATCAAGATAAATGACCAAGAAAGGTAAATCACAGATAAAATGTCACTGATGGAGAGATCACTCGACAGCCAGAGCCGCGGTAACTCGGTGACTCGGTGGTAACTTCCATTGCTGCAGTGAGCAGGGGAGCCGTCAGAGATCACCTGAACGTGGTTTCAGGGTGAACGAAATGAAAAATCGCACACGTGTCACTTTATGAAACAATGCCGTTTCTCGACATCACGGGTACCGTGTTTGATTTCATAAAAGAGGCATTTTGATGGGCAATGGGCATCGACATTTGCGACCGAAGGTTGGATTCGGCAGCAGAAGCCAAAACAAAACCTTATTTTTTTATGGGCTGATGTGGCCCGTGCATTGCAGACTTGCAGCTCTAGTGGAAAAAATAAGAAGGGGAGAGGAATAATCAATGACATGTCGAAAAAGGATTAAGGTATGAAAATGGGTGGCAAACCAGGATCACATCAGATTCAGTTCGGGAAAACACACCATCTCACTGTGAGGAACAGATCACAGTTTCGGCCGCCCACACTCTGTCTATTCCCGCGGAATGCAGTAGATGCACGGTGCACATTACGGCGGCAGGCAAAGCGAGCGGAGCATACCGCGCGTGCGGCCCGCCGGGCCGGCTCTCCGGCGCCCGCGGCCCGTCCCTGTGTACTGTGGAACTGAGGACGGCATGCTCGCACTAATACGGCGTCTCTCTCCGCCCTGACAGAGGAGCGACGGGCGTGTCCATTCTAATACGACCCAGTAATTGTGTGAAGTTCACAAACAGGACAGAACCAGTGGAAGACCTCAGTGGATATACTGGCGCATGGAATCCCTAGACAGGAATGGGCCGCTTTTCATGTTACGATTCGCTCGTCTTCTTAGCACTACCTGGATGAATGAGAAGTGTGACACCAATAAAGGACCTGTCAAGTCAAATTTATTAGCACTATCTGCAAATGGGGCAACACATTATTCCGGCCCTGTTTGACGGCTTTAAAACTAATCCATATGGACTCCTCGGAACAATGTTAGATATTTTACAGTCCGCCTCCTATCACCCTCAGCTGAACCCTCCTACACCTCCCCAGGGGGTGTGGGTGGGGGTCGCCCCCCCCCCCCCCCGTCACCTGCGCACACAGACAGGCAGTCAGTCGCAGCCGCCGCAGCCATGCTCAGTGCTCAGCCATGCAGCACACGCAGCCAGCTCAGCGGGCGCCGCGCGCCGCACCGCCCCTCTCCGCCCTCGGGGCGGGTCTCGGCGCCCCTCTACTGACCACGCCCACTGGGCGGGGCCTCTGCGCGTCTAGGGCGGGCGGGAGGGCCTACAGAGGCCCCATGCACGCGGGGAGGCTGGGAGGGCACACCGCAGCGCCTTCTGATCCTACTGAGGGGGGGGGGGGGGGGGAGTCATGCCGGTACCAGGCGGGCCAGGGTCCCATCCCATACCTCGCGACGTCATAAAGGACTCTAAACGGGGTACCTTTTTACTACTTCAAAGCTAGCAAAATATTCACCATCAACGGCTGTATATCTTTTAGGGTTGGGTTGTTTAAAGTACAAAAGAAGCTTGATGGTAGCTATTCAAAGAGGAAAAATATCACGCATTATCCTAAAACAACAAAACGTCTTGCAAGGTGCCTCAAAATTCGCCAAAAATATGTCTTGGGAAAACCTGGCATCCTAGTTTTAATCAAAGGAAAATGTCACAGGAAAATTATAAACTCGAAGCTTAAATAAACAATGGTTAAAGATAATTTAACCAAAGTCTCCCGCTGTTATAACTCGCAACTGTTTTCCCTCTGGGTATGTAAAAACCGTCCCGGGGGTCTGGCCAGGAATCATGGCTGTACCGTTCACCAAGCTACTGGAACTGAGAGATCGACCTCAGTAGAGACCGGGGAGGTCCCTGCTGTCCCCCCCCCCCCTCCCTCCCCGCGGGACCCAAACCAAACAGAACCAACTGAGGAGCAACGCGCCGGCCCGGGCCGACCTGAATCGACCTCTAACGCCGCCGGAAAGCCAGGGAGACCCGCGGCATTCGACGGCGCGCCATACCGGGGAGTGGTCGGCCATACCGGGGAATGGGGAATGTCCGCCATACCGGGGAATGGGGGAACGGGAGGCGAGATTCCATGCGCCGCAAAAACAATCAAAACGACAAAATGAACAAGTGAGGCAGAGACAGAGATATGTGGATGAGAAAACAGCGCAGAAAATACAAGTATTCGATATTGCCCACCTTTGAGAGATCTTTTCCGAAAGATTCCTTCGCGGGAAACACAAAGACTGATGTTAGTGAGGGATATAGAGGGAGCGGAGAGTGCCCCGGTGTCACTAGCTGGTGGGGAACAGCCAGGGTTCCTGCCCGACCCTCTACAGAGCGGCCCGCTACCCGGCCTATACCGCGGCGGCCCGACCCGGTACACCTCACTGACCGGCCGACTAGTTACACTAGCTAGGTCTCAGGCACTAGATAGTCACATTCGAGTCTCCACATCTCCGGGTCCAACTAGGGCGGCTCCTCCGGCCAGATCTGCCCGGCTGAGTCTCTACCTAGGGGGAGGGGGCACTAGCCGACAACAGGGCTCATCCAGGGCGGTTTATCCTGACTACAGGTCCGACTGATGACGGGCTGGGCCCGGCTCCGGCGGGGCGGGACGGGGCGGGGCGGAGGGACCCTCCCCTGGACCCGACGTGAAAACGGTGGCGACACTGAGTCGCAAAGAGTTACCACCAAGAGCGGAACGATTTGGCGGCGCCGAGAAACGGTGGGCGGCGGTGCAGAGGCAAACGACGCGCACGAGAGAAAACCGCCAGAAATCAACCGAATTTCACACAACAGCGCCGAAATGACGAGAACAGAGGGAGGCGCGGCAGAGCACGGAAAAAAGGCGAAAGCGAAGCCGATACCGATAACATTGAAAGCAGACCGGTGGACGGGGCGGCAACCGGGCTCCGGCCGCCGCCACACTCAGAACAACCCGCCCTCGTCAGAAGACATCTATAGGGAGGCGTGTGAGCTGAGGGTTTTGGACGTGTAGCCTGAAAACCCTCACCCACACGCCTCCACAGACGGTTCTTTGACGAGAGGCCGGTGTTTCCGCTGTGGCGTCTGGCCAGCTGTTCCAGGTTTTCACCCCGGGATCGGCCCCTCCCGGTGGCGGGTGTGTATGGGGGAGGAGGGGAGGCGGGGGAGGAGGGGGAGGTCCCGCGCCCCTCACCTGTTATCGAGCACAACAGTCTCAAGGTGGGGGCGTCGCCGCTGTACTGGTTGATCATGCCCTTGGCGGCCGCTTGCGGCACCGGAATCGTCAGGGTTATCGGCTGAAAAAACAGAGGGCAGGTCATGCGTCAGCGGTACGGGAACACAGCCAAAAAGATCGGGGTGAGAGTAAATGTGAGCAGACCATCACTCAGCAGGCAAGACATTAACATCTGACGAACCAGATACTGCAGATTGTAAACCGCCTGCTCACGAATGAGGATATAGCCAGAGAGCGTTCGACTGTCAACCTGTCGCACTCATTTTTTAATTCACTTAGCTCGCTGCATTTCATCTTATGTTTATAGTCGTCCTGAGCACCTCACCCTCTATTGCAAAAGCTTCGCTACCACAGCCCCTTACCGGGCCGCCGCGCTGCTCACGCTCCCATACCACAATCCCTCTCTCCGGGCTCGCTGCTGAAGCTGCCCTCCCTCCACTCTCTCTGTTATCGCTCTCACCTTGTGGAATTTGCGCCGCCGGGGCTCTATATGTAGTGACGATTGGTGAGACGGTCTCTCTCTCTCTCTCTCTCTCTCTCTCTCTCTCTCTCTCTCTCTCTCTCTCTCTCTCTCTCTCTCTCTCTCTCTCTCTCTCTCTACCCCTCTCCCTCTCCCTGTAATCGACCTCACCTTGTGGAATTTGCGCCTGCGGGGCTCTATAGTGACGATTGGTGAGACGGCCACCCGGTTCCCGAGCAGTTTGGCCACCAGCTCCGGTGGGATCGGCTGCGCCTGCGAGAGGGACCGACCGCCGCGTGAGGGCGGGTCGGAGGTCAGGGTATCGTCCCGGGTCACACCGAGGTCAGGTCAGGGTCAGGGTAGTAGTCTGTAGGTCAGGGGTCGAGAGGTCGGCTGGGGTCAGGTCAGAAGTAAGCTCTAGTGTCAAGAGGGCCGTCAGTAGGTCATCTGGTTCTGGTGTTAAGGGTTAGAAACATTCGTTGGTATCAGGGCTAGGAAACCTGACTGCAGAACAGCTGGTGTCTGGGTCAGGGCTAAGGATGACATCTGCAGCTCAGGTCAGGGTGTCGAGGGTGGTTTTGGGTCAGGGGTCAGAGGTCAGGTCAGGGTGTCGTGTGTAGGTCAATGTCAGGGGTGACGTGCGTAAGTTGGATGGGGTCAGGACTCAGGAATGTTGTCTTCAGGTTAAGGTCAAGGGTATGGTCGATGGTCAGGGTCGGGGATGTCATGCATAGGTTGGCAGTGTTCGATGTTATACGGGAACACGACACAGTCCAGAGGTCAGTGACGTCGCTTATCGGATCCCGGTGTGTAGGCTGACCAGCGATAGACCTCTCGGAGGGAGGCGCACTGATGATGAGCATATGAGAAGCTGGCCAGCGGCTAGGCGCTTTCCGTCCCGCTTGGGCCTAGACGTTCTAAAAGTGTAGGTCTTTTGGAGTAGGAAGGCACGTCAGTATGAGCCTGATGGAAATAAGGATATCATTTACCGTAAGCTTGAGCTCTGACTAGCAGTGGCGGATCTAGGATTTGAGTTTAGGGGGGGCAAACATTGCGCCGCCAGGCAAGTCGGCGAGAATTTCAAACGTCCAGTCTTAGGAACAAAAAAATGAGCTACCCCTATTTTTCTCCTCGGATTTCGGGATTTTTTTTTGATTTTTTACATTTTTGTCAGTCCGGCCAAGCCAGGGCAGCGCAAAAAAAAATTTGCAGCCACCCTGACTCCGGGAGACAGTTAGAGAATAGCTCACCGGCGCTATGGACAAAGGTTGAACGTTCTTCAGCATCATTCTGCTCGTCCTGGTAGGTACTTGGCTACCTTATTACATAAATATGTTTCCGAAAAAAGTCGTACATTTGCCGGCAGCTGGTTGCAGCCCCGGCACCTCGGTAATAAGGCGACAGTAACCGATGACGGCGATTAGCACCGGTGCAGCAGCCCCTGTGGTCCGCAGGAGCGGATATTGCGCGGAGGGAACGGTAGGTACGAAGCTCTGGCGGTAATCAGACCATCACAATAATCTCTGATAATGACAGGTGATCGCATTTCGATATTTATGGGTTTACGATTTTCCAGTCAGTGGCGTAGCCAGGTGGGCCCGTGAGGCACATGCCCCCCCATCAGGTTCAGGGGCCCCTCGGGTTATTCGGGCCTGAGGGGCCCTGCGGCGCCACTTGGCCGCTGAGGGTCCACGTTGGCCATATTTGGACTAAGTAGGGCCCGACAGGGCTCGTAAGAACACCTCATGGGCCCACAAGTACCAACATTAAGATCTCCATAAGGGCCCCAAGCCAGCCTCTGAGGCCCACTTGCCGGCCTCTGGGGGTCCTAAACGGCCAATAGGGGGCCAGCTCTAGGAGCTGCACACCCGCCTGTAATGGCCCCACACCCATTTCTCTGAGGGCCTCTATAACGGCGACTGTGAGGGCCCTCACCGGCGCCCCTGAGCGCCACACCGGCGTCTCTAAGGGCCACACACCCCTAACTCTGAGGCCCTACACCAATGGCTTTAAAAACCCTACATGGGCGGTTCTGAGGGCCCTTGTCAGTTACCAGCGACCCTGACGATCCCACACAGGTGACTCGGAGGATCCCAGCGGCGTCTGAGCGCACCATACCAGTTTCTGAGAACCCCACAAGGCTCCTGAAGGCACCGGTGACCTCTTAATATCTTCTTGTCGGCCTATGAAGGGTCCGTTCCGTAACAGCAGTTCTGAGGGCCCCACGCGCGCCTGTGATGGCCCTAAACCAGTGTCTCTGAGAGCCCCCACAACGGCGCCTGTGAGGGCCGTCACCGGCGACTGTGAACCCTCCACACCGGCGGCTCCGAGGGCCCCACATTGCCATATCTGAGGGCCCCACACTAGTGCCTCTTAAGGCCCTATATCGGCGGCTCTGGGGGCCCAACATCGTAGCTTCTAAAGGCCCCACAAGTGCGCATGTGACGGCCACCCACCGGTGACATTTGAAGGCCCCACACCGGCTACTCTGAGGGCCCCATCGGCGCTGAGTCCGTGCCGGTCTCTAAAGACGACCCCACAGGGTTTCTTAACCCTCGCCCGCACATGGGGGGGGGGGGGGGTGGTTGCCACCCCCCCCCAGGCAGTCTTTCTGATCTGCACTCAACATTTTTAGAGCTAGAAGGCTGATTTTTCGTATAGCTGCTCGTCTATCCTTTCTTGATGTCCACTGAAAATTTCAAGTTTCTGTGATTTTTGGTTTCGGAGATATGACCTTGTTTTTCAGGTCATGTCATGACCCAAATGGCCAATTCTCAACATCTTGCGTTTGCCATGGGCCTTGTGAGCTTTTGACACCCTAATTTCGGCCTTTTTTGCCAGTCTTACCTCCCACCTATCATGGAACATGTTGTTCGACGATGTACAGGGGTCAAGGTCAGGGTCAAGGTCAACCTAGGTCATCTAAGATAATTGCGTTTTAGGCAAGATGAATTTACTTTTTGTGAAGTTTTTTGACTGCATTTTTGGTAAAAGCTTCTCAGATCATGATTTCATGTGATATGGACCCAAAAACAATCGGTGCACACATCAGTATACACACAGACACACACAGACATACAAACACATATAATTGACCTTGACCTAACTTGACCTGAAATGACCTCAGTAGCAAAATTCTGGTCGGATAGTGTGACAAAGAGGTTCTAGCTGGCTTGGCACCAGAAAACAGCATCGTCATCGGTATTTGATAAGCAGCGCACTTGATATCCAACGGTGACCCAAAACAGCAACATTTTTTAGTTTGACCTGACCTGGAAGGTCAATGACTGACCTGAGAAGGTAAAACTGGGTATCATTGGATTCGTCTCTTCCCAAAGAATCTTTTTGGTCTTTACTGCTAAGCTCTATCTCCAACAGGAACGAAATGGCGCGGGGGGGGGGGTGGTGGCAACCACCCCCCCCCCCCACCATGTGCGTTCTAGGATGGGAAAATGGCATGTGCGGGCGAGGGTTAAGGTACCACCGGCCTTTGATGGCCCTTTGTCGGCCTCTGAGTGCCCGTCGCCGGTCTCTGGAGCCCCCTGCCGGCTTGTAAAGGGTACGCGTCAGCAGCTCTAAGGGTCCGACACCCGTGTACGACGGACCCACACCAGTGTCTTTGCAACTTACCGTTTTTTCGCCCTTCTTCTTAAAACTAACTTTTCTTTTCTTTGGGTACATCTTTATTTCATGCATTGCAAGTTGTGTAATTGTTTTAGTTTTAGTAGTGAAAGACTGCAGAACCAATTATTTTCTTCAAGCAGAGTTAGTGGGAGTTATTGAGGGACAAAATCTTTGGGGGTGCTAACTGGAACATTCGGGGGTGTCCGGAAAACCATTGGGGGTGCTCATTTGAGCATTGGGGGTGCTGCAGCACCCCCAAAGGTAGGTATACAAATCGACACCCATGTCGCCTGCCATGTTACAGCTACCACCAGCGCAGCTTTACTTCACATTTCACAGCGTCTGACTGCCACATTGTTTACCCATCACTAATCCCCACCGAACTCATCACTAATCCTCACCGACACCATTTATTTCCTCCATTTATTTCACATTTTCTTTTCAAACACCATATTTTTAGTATTCAAGTTGTAGTTTTTTTAGGGGGGGGCAAAAAGATATGTTTGCCCAGAGGTTTTCCGTTTAGGGGGGGCAATTGCCCATTTTGCCCCAACGTAGATCCGCCACTGCTGACTAGCTCAATTTTGAGCAGGGCGCCCAGCTCAATTTGGAGGATCTGCCCATTCCACGGCGCACTTGACGGTATAATTCTGATTCTGAGCAACTACTGGCCATCAAAGCAGGACAAAGCAATTTCACAGCACGTTTAGGTTATTGCCGCTAATATGACAAAGCCACGGCCAGGACTGCAAGGATGCGTTGTGAGTGTGATCAGCCATGGTACAGTGGTTGGTGTTAGACATGCATTTAGTGAGTAAAAAGGGGCACACATACCTGGTGTTAGTCGGAAGCCACCACCGCCGCGTCACCCATCCGGATATCGAGCTCCAGACCTCCCTGGAGTGGCCGAGTCTCTCTCTGATGCAGGCTGTGAGTGTTTGTGTCTGTGTGTGGGTCTGTGTGCTCCCCCGCTGTCCCATGGTGTGCTATCCATACCTCTCATCATCACACCCTTCTTATTCGTGGTAAAGTTGTGGACTCCAGTCGTCCCGTGAAAAGTGCTGATGTGAATTAATGTCTGATGTACCCGCCATTCTACCAGATCTCTCGTGAAATGTGTGCTGCTGTGTATTTGGCGTGGATTATGTCTCCTACAAACTTCGTAGGCATTCAAGCAGCCATTCCTATTCGTAATTATAAGCAGCTATATGTATTATAATTTATCTTTTGTTGTTCGGTAGCACATTATAAATACAAAACCGTTATCATGTAACACCTGCGTTCGAATTGCAGTTAGGGTAGTTAATGGGTTAAGTAAAATACTTAGCGCCTACGTGTTCGGTAACTTCTATCCGGTTACTATTCAAGCTACGGCACACGTTCGTCTACGCTCCGAATAAGCCTTTATCCGTATGCCTTTGGCTCAAGCCTCGCTTATAAGCTCGCTAGCCAAAATCGTACAACAGCATCTGATCGTTATCCAAGGTTTAGTGCATCGTGTGTTCTGTGTCTGCCGTGTCAGCCGTTTGTATGTCTGTGTGTCGTTCCTGACGTTCCTCCACTGTCTCCGCTCCACCACCTCTCTCCTCCTCCTCCGTCACTCTCTCCTCCACCCGACAGGCACATGCAGGGCTCGAAGTGGCCGGAACCGGGCAAATGCACTCATTAAGCAGCGGCCAGCTACCGTAAGCCCAATAAAGTTAGAGGCGGCTCCGCGGCTATGCGGCGGCTCGGTCAGCTCGCCGTGGTTAGAACCGGCGGGTGATGGACAAAACAGTGAGCGGGTTAGTAGCCAGAGATGAACGGCATTTGCCTGGACCGCTTCGAGCCATGCACTGGAGCCAGAATTGGAAAAGCTAATAGACGGTTCGCTCTAAGTTTATTGGGCTTCGTTAGAGTATATACGCTAGGCGGTACGGGAGAGACATGCCAAACTGGTTAGTAGACAGTAGACAGCCAAGCGGGGCAAAGCAGTGCCCAGAGGCGGCATCTGATCGGACGCCTGGCGCGCGACGCTTACCTGCCGTCACCGGACGCGCACAAACAGTGACGAAAACCGCGCGGCCCGGGTGGGAATCGAACCCACCACCGCCGGCTGTCTCACCGGCCGCCCGCACCAGCAGGCCCCCGGGCCGCGGCGGCGTCTCAGTGAAGTTACAGTGCGCCGGACGGCCGGTAGATGTCGCCTCTGGGCGGCGCGGGCCGACCAAACACGGGTCCGGCGGGGCGCGGAGCCCTCACAGCGCCAGGCTGATATAGGAGCTGGACCCTCAGTGGCCCAACCCGAGCGACTACTGCCCAGAGAGCCGCCGCACAGCGCGCACACACACAGACCCGCGCGGGGGGCGCGGAACACCTACAGCTAGCGCAGCGGCCGCCGACCGGGCACCGCTGTCCAGCGCCCACCGCACACCCACAAAATATATGCCAACGTACCTCAACCCTCCCCGCCCGCCCTGCGCGGCACCCACATCCACACACCCCGGACAGCGGCGCGGCGGTCCGCGCCGTGCGTTTGTGACAGTTTAGGCCTTGCTCCCGGTGCCGACTTGTACTGCAAGGAAAGGCACGGCCGCCGGGCCGGACAGGGCCGCGCGCCACGCGCCCAGTCGCAGGAAGCATGCGCGTTAGAGCATGCAGCGCAGCGCCGACGCGTTACTATGGTTACCGGCGCTCACAGTGACACGTCGCCCGGGGTTACGGTTAGAAAACACCCGAACACATGCTGCGGCGGCGGCGGCAGCTGAGAAATTTGTGCGCCGTAGAATATATGGTCAGAGATGCAGGATAGGACAGGGAAGTGTGGAATGTATTCAGGAAATAGGAGCAGGAACACAATAAACACGACCGCATCAACGCGAGACACCCGCACACGAACACGCCGAAAATAAATACACAAGGAAATAAATACAAATAAATAATATCGCGGTGTTTCACGACACGCTGTGTTGTCAGATCTCTGAGATTCCCGTTACGTATGAGTGGCTCGCCACACTCTGAGATTCTGTCAGATCTGGTCCGTCTCGGGCCAACCAGCGCCCTGACACGGGGACGCTCCCAGACACACAGACAGCGGCACCGCCTCGCTGCAAACGCGGCGGAGTGGCGGGGCAGGACCGTATAGAACCGTAATCTGGTCCCGAGACTCTGGGACAGGCTGGGCCGGACCGCCGAAGGGACCACGCTGGTCCCGTACCCCGGACAGGCTGGGCGGGACCGCGCGGCCGACGGGACCACACTGGTCCCCGGGACAGGCTGGTCCGGACCGCGCGGACGACGTGGGACAGGTTGGGCCGCTATCACATCCCAACCCTCAATGAACGGCGCTCATATCCGATACTGAGAGACAACCGCATGAGACGAATAAATACTGGAATAAATACTGCAATAAATACTGGGACAAATTGTGACTTAGAAAACCCTGAGAAAACAGGACATGACTAGAATTGTGACTTGAGTAGCTTATAGCTACAAAAAAAAACTAGCTATGTTCTCATCTTAGGTAACGGACTAGAAGTAACGCAAAGAATACCTCTCATTTCTCTTCCATATAACTTTCTGTACATTTGGCCTTCGCTAGACCCTGCTTTTCCGTTGCCATTCGCTTTAAAAATAGTGCACAATGTGTCCTTTTTGAGCCTACACTGTGTTTCCCTCATTCAAAGTGAGATTCATAGACAAGGTAAGGACTGAGGTCTGGTGATTTTTCTGTGAAAAACGCCGACCGAGAGAATCGCCGGGCGATGCCTGCGGCTCACGGAGTCTTTCGACCCGACGATCAATCAGTTGACCTCTTCCGCAGGGCACCAAGGGCCCGAAAACCAGCACTCAGCTCCAGCTATCGCATGCCGATCTAAACCACGAGCGAAACCAATGGAAAGGAACCAAATCCCACCAACTTCATCACGAATTTCGTACCGCGAATTTCACCAATCACCCCTCCCCCACAGCTCTCCCTGTCGCCCCACCCCTCTGTCTCAGCGGCTCGGCGCGGCGGCGCTCTAGCCGCGCAGTGCGCCATTTCCGTCCAGGATTCCGTCCACGTGCACCACCTCGAGGTCGCTCTCGGAGCGTCGGCCCAGCCTGCCCAGACACCCTCACCAGATGCGACAGAGCCGCTTCTTTTTGGGCACCAGCGGCGGCGCCTGCTGCTTGGCGGCGGCCCGCTCCCGGCGCCGCCGGAACGGGTTGGTTACCTGAAGGCCGACTTTGATCTTCTTGGTGAGGGCGCCCGGCTGGAAGACGGCCTGTACCTGCGGCACCACCGTGCTAGACACCATGCCGCCCTCCGTGCCGATCGCGTGCACCTGAAGGGGAGGGGGCGGGGGGTCAGAGGGAGGGACGACAGTTGAAGGGGTGGGGAGTTACAAAGCTGATGCGGAATTGCTTCAGCAATTCAGTCTTAATGGGAGAAATCCGGGACGACTGCATTCTTAGAAAGTCCCATCCTCAGGACAAACATGAATGTGAGAGCGGCACGAATAGAAACTGATCAGCAGCCAACTCATCCTTGTTTAAAAACGTGAGGCGGTGCTAGACCCTGAACCCTGAAAGGTCACCATATGGACCTCAAACAGGTGTACACGGTCCGGTCCATTTCGCGCGCTCTTACCTCCTGGCGCAGTCGGCTGACGATGGCGAAGTACTGGGGGAAGTCGGTGGTGACGATCCGCGTGATGCGACTCGTGTTCAGGTCCTCCAGCTGCTTCAGCTCTGTGGGAGGACCGGCGGGCAGAGGGTCAGATATGGGGCTAACTGCTTCAGCTCTGCGGGAGGACAGAGGTCAGAGGGTCAGACAAGGTGTGGGAGGGAAGGGGTGACTGTCACAGTCACAGGTCCTCCAGCTGCTTCAGCTCTGCGGGAGGACCAGCGGGGTAGACTCAGGGTCAGACGGTGTGGGAGGGAAGGGGTGACTGTCACAGAGTCACAGGTCCTCCAGCTGCTTCAGCTCTGCGGGAGGACCGGCGGGGTAGACACAGGATCAACGGAGCGTGAGCGTGACCGTCCCAATGTCCCAGAGACATTCAGAAGAAAGAACAAGGGACTAGCTGGATCCTGCTGCTGTGGCTGGGTTGGCGTTACACCCAGGCCACAGCTCTTCCATTCTCAGTTTCCCATTCCCTCGTACAGAGCCCCCTTCCCAACCTAATCTGCTTCTGAATTCTGCTTCCCCGTCTTCCGATGTCTCCCATCCTCTCACCGTCTCCGTCGAAGCTCTCGTTGAGGACTTCTTGGACGGCCTCCTCCGAGGCCTCCAGTGTGTGCTCCTTCCACGTCTCGCCGTTGTCGGAGCGCAGGATGACGATCTCCCGCTCCCGGCCGCGCAGAGACGCAAAGTGCGGCACCTCGATAATCACCGGTCTGTGTGGGAAGGGTTAGAGGGGGAAGATCGAAAATGAATAGAAGAGTTAAAGTCAAGATGAGGAGATGAGACGTAACAAAACGATAAACATTAGATAGTGACGGAATTCAAGCTCTATTGCAGCAGAATGACGCCAACACAGCCATTGGTTAGGGATCAGGTCAGAAACCAAGGGCAGGCGACAGAAACAAACACTGTGACATTTCAGCAGTCAACTAATCACACTTCTTTACTACATTCATTGCGATTGTCTAGCATAACGGCCAATTTAAGGCCGTTATAAATCTGGAAAACGACCCGAATCCATTCGTGTAGAATGAATGCTGATTGGTGGCCCCAAACTGCCGACTACTTATACCAATGGTCGACCTGAGCCCGGCCAGGCGGGCGGTAATTCGTGCCTCAGTCCGCCCCAGTCCCCGGCATATCCCCCGGGACTGTCCCCGCCGCCGTTACTCACCCGAGGAACTTGGCCTGCGCCGGGCCCATCTCCAGAATTCGACTGGCGATCGCCTCGCCCTCCATCAGAGGCGGAGGGTGCAGCAACTTGTCCTTCTTCAGGTAACTGGTAGATGGCAGCACGGGCGACGTGAACAGGCAGCAGTCAACAAACGGCGCAAACGCGACAGACCACCATTGGGGAGCGAAGTAATGTGATATTCACAACAAAATAAGGTTTTTGTGAGTGCGATAATTTTATTAGTAACGAAAACGCATGTAAGAGTCAAAACATTTCGTAACAAAAGAACAATAAATATCATCATGTAAAACTCCTGAACAACAACAGGACCGACAAAATATGAAATATTTGAATAGTATAATCAGTATACGAGGGAGTCTTCGACTAAATATCAGTAAAGTATTAACGAAAAATCCGTAACATCATCACAAAACAACACGTCCCACGGATGACGGAACCCAACAGAGGTGGCGGGGTCAACACAGGTCAGAAGAGGTCAAAGACGGAAACCAGCGGGCGGCAGAGAAGGATGGCATAACGTAGCGGATCGACTCTTGCAGGACGGAGCTGTCGCTTTCGGCTTTCCAACTGGCTCGTTTGGACTTCCATCAATATGGGCATGAGGATCGAGGAATCGATCCTGGATCGATCAGGTTTTCCTGGAAAGGAGCGAAGACGAGGAACTGCGTAAGGTAGGAATTCAAACACAAAGTTTTGACGAAACAGGGCTCACGCACCTAACAACTTTATCCCACGATCTGTAGATGATACAAGTCAACTTTCCATGTCTGTTTTCATAAGCAACAAACAATTAGGAGTTCCAATTAACTGAATCGCCTGCCCCGCAGCCTAGCCCTTCCCTCCCTCTCGGAACTCTCTCCCTCTCCCCTCTCACGACTGTCTCCCTCGCCACTCACCGGCAGGTGATCCTCATGGGCTGCGCCGCCTTCCGGGGCGGTACGATCACCCGCACCCCAGAGTGGCGGCACCCGCGCATGGCGCCACCTCGCGCGTCAACCATGAAGCTCACCAGGAACCTGCGCCGCGCGTATAGGTGGCGTCAGTGACTAGTATGGGAGGCGCTCCGGTAGTATAGGGGGCGGTAGGGAGGGCTGTCGATAGATGGCGCTAGTAAAGGTATGACCTAAAACCTAGCAGTGTTATCAATTGGGTTAATCTTATCTTCAATTAAAAGTACTATATGAGTTAATATGCACGTTAAGTTGATATTTGGGGCTCGCACGTTTTACTAGCTTGCTGTCCTAAAAATGTTGAGTTATTGCCGTCCCTAAGGCAAATATTCTAATGGGTGTCACGCCTAGTTTTGACTCATATTTGATGCATTTCCGTTTAATTGGCAATGAAAACAAAAATCCTTTTGAAGGTCTTCACAAGATTGGACAATAAAAACGAAAGAACTTCATTGTTTTTAGAATTCAATAATTGGTCTAACAACATCTCACTATAGTATTCTAACTATCTGCACTCTATGCTTAATCTAGACAACTCTACATCTAGTTTCGTTAGTCTGCCTACATGGCCCGGGACGAAGCGGTTAGGCCCAGCGGACCACCGGAAGCAAGACCATACCGACATCTATCGTCCAAAACAGCAACTATAGTACCATCCAGAAACTAGGTACTATCACACATTCACAGGACCACAGTCATCCGGACATCCAACCCGAGAAACAATCACATGACCGACCCAACAGGCATGCATACGTGATGTGCAATATAACATTTAACTTGTAACTTGAGCATTGACGATAACATAAAAAATTATCCAAAGCAAGAACTATACCTACACTATCTCAGAGAATACAAGTAAATGAAATCAATGAGTGACATTCGTCGAAATAAATGATAACTAAATAACGCAGCGCGTTGTAAAACGCAACTAAACCAGCATACCAGCATTCACCAACATAAGACCCGCGCCGGTACCCAAGCTGAAAGCTCCTTCGGTCGCAACTCGCAGCCGTGCGAAACTCCCCTCCCGCAGTCCTCCCACCCACAGCACCCCTCCTCGGCCCTGATTGGCGCTCTTTTCCCGTCCCAACCAATCAGCAGCCAGCTCTCGTCCCCCGACCAATGAGCGCGCAGCATTCCGTCCGCCATGCGCCCTTGACCCGGCCCGGGTCGATACTCACGACTTCCACTTGAGTTTAGGTCTGGCCGGTAGCATGCGTGGGAGCGGGGGGTTAGTCGACTTGACGGCTGCTGGGGCCGACGCGGCGGGGTCGCCGGCCCTGGGTCAGCGCCGCCCGGTCAGGGGTCAGAGGTCAGCCCGGCCGGCTGGGTCGTCACACCCCGTCACCATCCGTCCGGTACAGACCGGCGGTAACTACCGATCCCCACTCCTACTACAGGGGCCGAGAGCTTCACTCGGAGCTCACCGACCAAGCAGCCGAGGACGGAGGGCCAGGATAGGTGTTAGTGGTCGGTTAGGATCGAGATCGACCCATCAAGGACGGACCAGCGGCATACACAGCTGGCTAGCGACAAACCCCAGAGCAGCAAACCCCCGACGCATCGCAGCCCGACAAACGGTCATACTGCCCCGCGGACAAAACCACAAACATACCTACCTTCTCGACGTCATGTCCTGGTACCCCAACTTCCTGTTCCCTTCCTTCCACGCATTCCCTTCCCACCTAAACACAGCGGCGTTTGCTCCCACACCCCAAAGAAGCTTTGACCAGCGCCCCTGAAGCGGGTGTTCTCCAGAGAGATAGCGGGTCACGTACGTTAGTCCACACGGGGTTACTCCTCCCCACATGCGTATCAGTGTCCTACCGCGGGGACTCCCTGTCTGCCAGGCAGGGCAGGCGGGATGGCAGCACGCGGGTAGAGGTAGCCACAGCGGGCAGGAAGCTGTTAGAACTGTCCCAGCCCGGGCCGTCATGGCACGTTACCAGACTACAAGCGGCTCCGGCCCGCGCCCGCAGAGACGAGGCGCAGGGCGACACGGTGAGAAATGACGTCGTTGGCCAGTCGATGCCGATCAAAGCAAACATGGTCAAGTGAAAGAGCACAATGGAATTGCATTGCCCACATTTACAATTCCCATTTTGGATGGTAGGAACTGAGAAGACCTTTCGTAACATTCGACGTCATTTATCACGCATTTTGCGCCCCCAGCCGAACATACCGCCGGCGCGGGCCGGTCTACAGCCAGACGGCGGCGAAGGTGGCGCCACCTTTAAACGGTATACCTGCTGCGAAACATTCCCACAAAGCTAGTCGCGGTGCAACAAGAGAGTGTTGTGTCCAGGCTGTGCATGGAATTGCTGCGGGACGCAAGACACACAAACACGGCCGTCAGAGACATCTGTGGGCGAGAGCAGTCAGCAGAGGTTTCGGCCCGTGTCGCCAGGGCGGCGCCACGGGCGCGCCAGTAAAGTTTACGGAAGAGGTGTACAGAGAGAACGCTGCTAGCGAGGCGATATGTGAGACAGAGAAAGACGAAAGGAAGAATTTCAGAACAGGGGAAACGGGAAGAAATGTCTGATTCAAATGACATTCAATTATGGCGGCAAAAAAGCGCATCTCAAGAGCAGACATGGGTATTCGCTTCATTCAGTTGGACTTAAATATCAAGAAGTTACTGCGTTACAGCCAATGTCACTTGGTTAATAATTATGCTTCCCCGCAAGACATTCGACGCCAAATGTTTGAATATCGTAAGTAGGAGGGGCACTTCTGTGATGAATTATCAGAGTCTTTACGCGCGAACGGTCTAGACTAATCCCGCGTCCAATTTAAAGGCGAAGCAAGCGAATTTTGTTCGTGTTATGCTTTCCATTTATGTGTTTATTCCATTGCGTCTCTATTTCGTTTATAATTTAAATTAAGTGGCCTCCACCGGCACCGCAGCCAGGCCCTGGGGCGGTTAGTGTGAACCGTGGCGCCACCTATATGATATATAGGCGCCACCTATATATCTCGCCGCTGACACCGGCTCTGGGACAGCTAATCTCCGATCACGCCCCAAAGCGGACGGAACAAACGGACATGCCGGAGGACAACAAAGAAAGCCACGAGAATGACGGACTGTTACTGCTAGCGTTAAGGCAGTTATTGTGGCAAAATGTCATGTAAGCCGGATCTTTAGGGTAGTGAGGGGCAGCGTTCATTTTAACGGGCATATAAACAGGACGCACATCAGACAAAACAAAAGGGAAATGAAGAGCGAGCAAAGAACAGTGCAGGGCAAGATACGAGTGAGATTGAGAGTGACGGCAGCTGCCAAAACAAGACGAAATATTTGCTTTAATGTAACACAAAAGTGAAATGATACGAGCAAGCAAAAATGTCAATATTGTGAAACAAATATAACAAAAGGAAAAAGCTAGCAATAAATTAAAACAGAACACAAGAATGTTGAGTCAAGAAACAAACACCACCGAAAGGCGGGAGAAACAAACATAAGAACAATGAAAATAATCACAATATGCAGGTGATGTGTAACTTAAATGCGGCATATACTACATAAAGCATATACAGAGGCCGTTACAAAAATCTACGCCGCAGCAGAGCTTAAATATACCTGCGGAGGAGCAGAGCGGGCGTTTCAAGTTCCTGGGAGGACCAGATTGGCCAGATCCCTGCCCGACCACCACCAACTACCATCACCGCCAGTGTCCCATCCAGCCACCCACCACCCACCGCGCTGCCTCCACCTCTGTACACCGGCACCCACCGCTCCCACCACCGCCGACACGGCCTTATTTTGTACAGCCCGCCTCCACGTCCGGCACAGCGCCGGTGCTGCCATCTGGCGGCGCGACAGTGCTGCCACTGCGCGGCCGGCCGCCCACTCACCCGGCGGTGACTGGCGAGCGCGAGATGTCCACATTGTCGGGCGCGAAACTGCCCGTGAACTGGGCGTACGACTCTTTGATCTTCTGTGGCGAGATGGTCTCCTCGACGGGAGGAGCCGGGCTGATCCAGTCTGCGGGCAAAGTGGAGACGGGTGGTCGGTGACCGGCCCGGGAATTACAACAACGGTTTAAACTGAAATGTGGAAACATTTTACAGAAGACCAAAAGCTAAAATCTGAAAAAGAAACGGTCCAATGATCACAACGATCGCTTTGGCATATTTATGATACTATTCCTAATCGACAAATGTGATTTTAAAATGTTTTGCTATGATATCGTAAAAGCATTGATGAGCTTATTTGAGCGTTTTTCCTTAATAATTTCACAAGTCGCTGAAAACCCCAGCTCTATCAGAGCATCACTATATTCAAATATCTCCAGTGACTCCCGCTCATCATGGAACCATCCCTGAATCATCTCACAATACCATCCCTTCCTCCTCCCATTCAAACAAGCACATGCCTACGGCCCCGTTATCGTTCTCCCGCACTGATGCTCCCCATAACTGACCGGTGTGGAAGTCGTGCGAGCGGTCAAAGAACTCGTCCCGGGAGACATCCATGGGCATCGAGTCGTCGCCGAGCGACTTCATCTCGTCCACGGTGAGGTACTTGTACGTGGAGTCGCCGGCAGGCTGGTCCTCCGCTGCGGGGACAGAAAGGTCACAGGGGGTCAGATACAGGTCACAGCGGTCAGAGACAGGTCACAGGGGGTCAGATACAGGTCACAGGGGTAAGAGACAGATCGCAGCGGTCAGAAATGTCACAGAGGATAGAGACAGATCACAGAGCTCACGACGGCATGTGGATTGTGGAGTCATATGGGGATGCATGAGAGAAACGGAAATTGAGTTTTTTTATCCCACTCGTTCTGCTCTTCATGTGATTCCAATCCATCCATTCTCCACTGCCTCCCTCCCTCCCCCTGCCTCTCTCCATCACGCCGATTCGTCCCGATTCGTGACGCCCCCCACTGGGTCCAGCTGAGCGCCACAGTGTGACTGACCCCGCCGTCCGATACCCGGGCAGAAGTGATGGCCGAGGGCGGGCCAGTCACCCGGGGACCACCAGACGACACTGGTACCGCTCCCCTGCTCTGCATTCTCCGCCGTTCTACTACAGCATCACTATCGCCATGCACATATGGTGTTTGGTAACGTTATTTATCCAAGAGCCATTTATTCTCATGTTATAACCCCGTTCCCATAAAGCAATGAAATTCGAAACTAAGTACCGTATTTTTCTTCTCGCATAACAGTTTTTGAGGACATCCCAGCATGCCCTCTGTCTGGTTGGAATACATCTCCCAAAGCGCTCATATACGAGCAAGCATTTTCCCACAAATACCAGCCCCTAGACAACTTCCTCCCCCAAAAATGTAACATGTCGACCGCTTCAGCCACTGATGTCTGAACTCTGAAGCTAACTCATATCAGAGCTCCTCGTCTACAGCCGTCGCCTGCCCGGTACCCTAACACGTTACTAACTGGCTGCCCATGTCCAGCTATAAATAATGCATCCTGCTGCCAACTGTCTCCAACTGGGTTACCGGTCAGTGCACGACCAAACCGAGAGGCCCGTGAAGCTGACCAGCTGGGGATATAAACGGACCAACTGTTGAACGATTGCAGAGCTGGCAGATGGTTACATTGGAAAAAAGAAAGTTTTCACTTGGTAAAACTAGTAAACGAACTCGTTGAAACTGGCAAATGGGGGAAAACGGGGGACTGAAATGGGGGATAACGCACTCTCACCTTTAGTCAACGCAACAGGAAGAAGGAAGAAAAGGTCCACGGTGCACCGTCTACCAGAGGTCACCCAGAGGTCAGGAGAGCTCATCGTTCGGAGGCCAGGAGAGGTCAGTAGATGTTCAGATCGGAAGAGGCTAGTAGAGGTCAGTAGAGTTCAGTAGAGGCAGGCAGAGCTCAGTAGAGCGGCGAGAAGCGCAGAGGAGAGAGACACGTGGGACAGAGGTCACACCTCACTTCACCGCCGGGCCTGGCAGAGGACCGCGCCGGGGGCCACGACGGCATGGTCACATCTGTGAGAGGACAGGAGGACAGGGGAGGAACAGCTCAGTAAAGTGACACTCATATTACGACAGAGTGATAAAAGACAGAACAGGAAGCACACGGTAGACAGAGGGCAGGGCTGGTCAAAAGGTGTGTGGCATTTAAGCAAATCAATATATTGAACAGAATGCCAAGAAAAGATTCGTAAACCATGTCCGCTTCGTGGAGCGGACGGATATAAAATCATTGTTTTGCGGGCAAGAAGACATGGTGATCTCTTCACATCAGCGACAGCTAGCATCTGACCCAATGACCCCTGACCCTGTCCAGCGGCAGAGTCTGATCACTGATCAGTCTGGCCTCTGAGGTCGACACCGGCCACCGCTGTACTGGCCGGCACCATACCATGACCCCGTGGGGCTGTCCGTAAACGTCCCCTAAATCTGTCCACCGCCGACCGTAACTCTGGGCCGCTGAACGGTCAGAGCCGACCCGGGGCGGCGCCACGCCCCCTGCATACCCGACAGGCCCATATCAGGGCTATACCTATCCCCGCCGGTGTAGAGTCCGGGTAACATCGCTTCATTAAAGAAATCCAACGAGCTGCCAATGGGTCTGTTCCAGTCGCACTTCCAAACACCTCTAACCTCCTCCAAGATTGCTTCCCTGTTCCAGTGGCAGCTCTAGCCCCTACAAAGCCAAGGAAGGCCCTGCTCCAACCTCCTCTATCTTGCTCTTGGTGGAGTTATGAGGTGTTAGGAAGTGCGACTGGAACAGATCCAATGAGTCTGGCCACGCACACCCGTGGGTCTGTTGAGATAATGAGGGGGGCACAATCCCCTAGAATTCAGTTAATATGCTGTGATTGGAGCTGTGATTAAGCTCCTTCCCCTTTTCCCAAAAACTCCTTCCTCCACCCCTGCCTTCCCCCTCCCCAATCACGACCGGCCCGGAATTGCGCCGTCAGTTGTAGACAATTAGTGGCGCTCGCGTGCGCCGCCGCCGCCGCAGACCGGTGGTTGCTGTGCGGCTAATGATAGTATGCCAGGGCGGCTGTCTCAGCGGAGGACAGCGACGGCCGGCGGCCGGGGGCGGGGGCCTTCCAAGGGGAGCTGAGAGGCACAGGGACCTACAGAGGGGACCGGCCGGGGCCCATTGTACTCGCAGGACTGGGCGTAACGGCTCAGGACACCACCGGATGTGGGTAATAGCGAGCTCTGCTTCCCCGGAAACGATATCCCAGAAAAGAAGAGAAATAATGGCATCATGAATATGGCAGATAAGCAAAAAGCCGAGAGTTGAAACTTCCTGACATCAATAAGCAGCATAACTGTAATCAGAGATCTCATTTGTTTCAGTAACTTTACTTCCTTCTGGAAACAGCTAACGTTGCATAAATAAACAGGACAAACGATGAGACCACCACACCAGAGCTGGACGTTCCTCATTCCTCAATGCATGATGGCACAGCTGCCTGGCAAGGAGGCTGGATCATATCGCGACCTAGCAACGGCTGCATGACAATGATAGTGGAAATAAGCTGTCCTGGGAGCGATATACTGAGATACCGCGGTACGCGCCTTTACGGGCTCACTGGTCAAACGAGAGCTCCTCACGAGCTGACACGTACCGTGATCCATCCTTTTCCGTCGGTCTGTCCTGCAGTCACGGCCACAGCCTCTGACACACTGACTTCACGAGAGGTCAGCGCCACTGATCACGTGTCACGGGTCACGGCTCACGAACTGTGTCACGTGACTCACTCGGTGGTCAGCTGAGACCGCGCGGTGACCCGATCAGGGTAACACGAGCTGCCAATGGCGCGCGGAGAGGTGTGGAGAGGTATGTGGCTGAAGGGGAGGGCGGTGTAATATGTCACCGCTCGGTGAACGCCTGTCACCGGTCACACGTCACCGAGTGACTGAGTAACGGTCACCGATCACTGCAGCTCACCAGTCACCGAACACCGGCCCTCGATCGCAATCACCGGCCGAAGCTTCACTCACGAATCTCCCTCTCACGACTATGTGATCACGACTCTGCCACCACGACCTAAATCACGACTCCACACCGGCGCTCCACCTCTCAGCCTCTGACCGCCACTTCTCACAGTCCCTCAGCACACCGACCCGTCCACAGCTCACAGCCGTCCGTCCCCGCCGCGGCCACCTCTGGCACTCTGAGGCGACCCTGCGCTGTCAGTACGGAGCCGCCGGGGGCCGGTGTCACTGGCTCGTCCGGCGCCGTCACCGCGCGCCCTCCTGACCGGGCCGGGCTGGCCGCGCAGTGCTGCTGCCCGCCGCTGACCGGCCGCGGTATGTGTTTATACAGACACCGGTACACGGGGCAGCACGCCGCTGACCGCGGCCGCCGCGGTCAGGGGAGACGGCGGGACAGACGGGAAACGGCTTCATTAGGGGTGACGGGAGGGGAGGTGGGTCACGCACAAGCCTGAAAGTGTGCGGATGGCAACTTGGTTGCACGTATAGCAGCGGTGAGTCATGAAATGTCAAACTGACCAGTGGAACACAAACGCCATTCGCGGATGAAACATTCAAAAGGTCATCGGTAGAGTATGCCTTCAGCATGAAAGCAATGAAGCTACAGAATGGGCGTGGCCAGGACACGGATAAAATGGGTCGACGGTTCCGAGCAGTAAGCCAGGATCAAAAGGCAGCCCCAGAAGTGCAGCTGAGTCATCCCACTGTCCTAGTGACCCTGAGTAGGGGATATGAAGCCTCTCAACGTCGGGATAACCCTGACCGCCCGAACAGCGAGTTTGAATGGAAATAAAAATGAAATCGGATCCTATTTCCCAGAGCACTCGAGAAACTTGAGCAGCTGACATTGGCAGTAATATTACTTTAAGAAATGTTAACGGCCTCAATAAAATTGCGGCCGACTATAAGTTAAAAAAAAATCGGTCAATTCGTTGCGCTGGAACCGCTATAAAGAAACTGGGCTGCACCCACATCATCCTGGGAAATGTCGACCTAACACTGGACACCCCGTGGATAAGGAGCACTCGGCCACAAGCGGGAGGCGGCACCCCAAACCACGTGCGACCTTCCACCCCAACCCAACCAGAGCGCTGGCGTTACCTGCGGGCTCCCGCAGCTCCCGCTCGTGCTGCTCCTGCTGGTTCTCCTGCTGTTGATGCTGGTGCTCCTTCCGCTCAGCCTCCTCCGGGTGGTCGCAGAACGCGCCGCTGCGCCGCACCCGCCGCCAAAACCGGCGCATTGTGGCGGGCACTCACTGCTCGGATACCTCAAATCACAGCAGCAGGCTCATCACCTGAGCTTACCACAGCTCACTGTTAGAGCTCACCACCACGGCTCAACGGAGAGCTCACCAGAGCTGACAGACGAGTTCACTGCGTTAGCTCACCACTCCAGCTCACCACGGCTCACCAGACCTCACCAAATCCCTCACGTCAGCTCACCGGCGCGCTCACCACTCTCACATCTCCCTCTCTCGCTCCGAATGGATCACAGTAGCACCCAGCCGGTTACCGGTGCCACTGTCACGTCCCACGGACCACGGCAGACGCCCGGACGGGGACGAGACGGACCTCCCGCCGACGCGGCCAATCGCGACCGATTCACGAACCAATCACGACCGGATCACGGCCGAT